AAGGAGTTCCACAGGTTGACTATTTGCTTTGTGAAGAAGAACTTTCTGTTATTAGTTTGAAGCCTGCTACCCATTCCTTTCCTTTGGTGTCCTCTAGTCCTTCTATTATGGGAACTAATGAAGAACTTTTCTGTATGCACCCTCTCCACCCCACTCATGCTTTTATAGACCTCTATCATATCCCCCCTCCATCTCCTCTTTTGTAAGCTGAAAAGTCCCAGTCTGTTTAGTCTCTCTTTATATGGGACCTGTTCCAAACCCCTCATCATTTTAGTTGCCCTCCCCTCTCCCACCCTCTCTCTTCCCCTTTCCCACCTCCTTTTCCCAGTCTCTCCCAGTTTTGTTCAATAAAGAGAGATTCTATTTTTGAACACAATTGTCCTTTATTTTGTCCATAATTGGAAGGGTAAGTGGAAGGAGGTGCTAGGGAAGGGTAAGTGGAAGGACGTGAGGGAGGAATGGGGTACGAGCCCCCGATGGGGAGGACTGGGCTGGCTCTGCGGGCTTCTGGAGGTGGAAGCTCTCCTGCAGCCCCCCAGTTGCCCCTTCTCCCCAGATGGCAGCCTGCTGCAAGTGCAACCGGTCTGATGGTTGCGTTCTGTGCTGTGCCCAGTGTGGGTTCTCCGGGCAATCCAAGCCAGGACTGCTTTGCAAGCGGGGCACCCCTGAGAACTGTCTGTGGGATGGGGGTCGGGTCCCTTTAAGCACAGCCCTCGGCTAGCCTGAGACAGCCGCTCCACGCTCTAAGTCCTCATCTGATGGCCTGCCGGCACTGCTTCCGGCCATCCTTAACCCCGGCTAAGGGTCCACTTAATGTAGACATGTAGTTCGAATTAGCAAAACGCTAATTCGAACTAGTTTTTTAGTCTGGATGCGTTAGTTCGAATTAGCTCCATAGGGAGATAGATATTAAAAAAAAAAAAAACCTATTTTGTCTGGGCTAAAGAATGACAGACAATAAATCCAGGTTGGTTACAGGCTCTTGAATGCAAATGCCATAGAAAATTATCAGACCTCTTGAGCTGACAGTCTTAACACAGACTGTAAATATTATTGCATACAATTGCAATGTCGTTTCAACATCTCACCCAACCGTCTGGACAACAGATTTTGCTTGCCTATTTCATATTAAAGTGCTATGTTTGTACAAACCTCTGCAAAACTTGTATTTGTCACTGTGGTTAGACTTTAAAATGTGCCTTCCTTTTCATGTTTTAGATTTTATTTTTGGGATTCCAGTAACTTATGATTACTGCATATAAAAAAATAAAAAAAGTCCACATTCTCCTCACTTGAACCTGAAACAACAAATCATATGCATATGCTTAATTTTAAACAGGTGAATGGATTATAGTTGCTTACATGCTTTACCCGACTGGGGCATAGGATACGTAAAGCCCATTGAAATCAGTAGAAAGGCTTCCATCAATTTCTGTAGGCTTTGAGGCTATGTCTACACTACAGACTTCTTGCGCAATAAGCTTTTTGAGCAAGAGATCTTCTGCAAAAACTTCTTGCTCAAAAGCGCGTCCACATGGCAAAAGCGCATTGAAAAAGTAATATGCTTTTGTGCAGGAGAGCATCCAGACTGCATGGACGCTCTCTCAAAAGGAAACTCTGATTGCTATTTACAGAATGGCCATCGAGGCACCTGTGCTTTTTTCGATTGCCTCTTTTTGCGCAAAAAAACCCTGTTCCCCGTCCACACACACACCTTTTTGCACAAGAACTCTTGCACAAAAAGAAGTTATTCCTCATAGAAAGAGGAATACCTATACTGGAAAAAACCCTCTGTTCTTTGGTTTTACTTGCGCACTTGAGGTGTGGATTCTCTGCAGGTTTTTGCACAAAAACTCTGCAGTGTAGACCTAGCCAAGTCTGGTTGATCCCCACTGCACAAGCAAAACAAAAAAAAGAGTATTGGAAGCATGCATTGATATGGGTCTAAACTAAGTGCAGGTAGACAGACATGTGCTAGCTCTGCTTAAACTAGTGTGCTAAAAATAGCAGTGTGGCCACAGTGACATGTGGCAGCTTCTGCAAGAGGCCTCCATATATAGCTGAGTTGTTGGGCTGGACAGCTCTTAGATGGCTAGCTTGAGATTTTTGGCCCATGCCACCACAGAGCTATTTTTTGCATGCTAGTTTGAGGAGAGCTAGTGTGTGTATCTATCACACTTAGAGCTGCTGTGGAGGCATACCCTAAGTGGGAGGAGAAGTAAACCAGTGAGTGTTGTTTTCGTTTTAAACTGAATCCTGCAGGAAGGGAGCTAAAACTTTCTTCCCTTAATGTGTATTCACCTATTGAAATTAAAGTGTACTCATTCAGGGTACCTCTATAATGCGGAGTTATTTTGGGATACTTGTAGCTCATTTGGCTTCCTGGTCTGCTCCTAGGATCCACTGCACCATACATGGAACTTGTAGCAAAGTCACAATTTCCTCATTACTGATCAATGGACTGTTTCAAAGCCCACTGTAGTCAACACAAATATTCATGTTTAAGTCCATGCACACAGTTTCAGGCCTCAAATTTATTACCTCCTATACAATTAAGGATTCAGTTTGATTAACAGGATTGCAAAGACATTCTCAAATGTTAAGAAAATCTCTAAATAGTTCAGGAATATCTCAAACACAGTTAAGAAAAGTGTTCTGAATGCAGTACACATTCCAGAGATAATGTAGAAAGCACTGACATCATAAAAATGGAAAGATATATTAAAGGATGTTTCAGATTTGCAGTTCATTTTCCAACAATCTCAATTCACTAATTAAAGAACAAACACAAAATTTGTTGCTTTCCTATAGGAACATTCCATTCCCATTTTTTCAGATGGGAAAACTGAAGCACGGAATGGCAATGTGAGTTGCTAAAGATCACAGGACAAGGCACTGGCAGCGGTGGGAGTAGAATCTACCTCTCCTGACTCCAATCTTGTGTTGTAAGTATAAAGTTTTGCCAATTATGGCTATGTTAAAGTGGCTATGGTTGGGAAAAATAGTAGCAAAAATGTTATCAGACAATTTCATATTTCTTTGTCCTCAGTCAATTCCATAGCTAGCTTGCTCAGGATTTTTTTGATTACCTTGCCAGTTCAGATAGATAGAGAAAATTAAGCCATATTACCTCAACTTCATACACCATCCTCCAACATTACTGACAATATTGTCAATAATACATGAGGTAAAGGGGAACTCAGCTTTCTTTTCCACAGCTGTACTCGCTCCCTGGCTGCACTGAAAGCAGTAAATACTTGTGTTTGTCAGTAAAGTACATATGACTCAAAATACAAAGTGAACTGTCCCAAAAAGCTAATTTTACTGTCCTCTTTTCCTGATTCTGAATCCACTTTAAAGGCCATGAAATGTTTTGGATCTTAAAAGCATGCTGGCCACTTGAATATAATATTTTTAAAATCCAAGTATCTGATATAACAGCCTCTAATTAGTGTTTCCTGATTGCATATGTGTACATCCTTTTAAAAAAAGGGCCTTTTGGGATCCTTGATTGATGTTTATGATCAAGGATTTAATCGTGTGCCACTGATGTCTTTGGGAATTTTGCCACTGACTTCAGTGGGAGAATGATCAAACCCCAAGGGAGAACTAAGTAACTGTCTAATGTTTTGATTCTGAATCACTGAAACCAATTGGCATTTTGCCATTGATTTCAGTGGCTGTAGAATCAGATTATATGAAGCAAAAACACTGAAAAGTCCTGATCCAGAAAAGCACTTAAGCATGTGTTTAACTTTAAATATGTTAATAGTCCCATTGAAATATAGGAATGCCCAAATACTTAAAGTTAAGCATATGCTTAAGTGCTTGATGGGATTAGGGCCAAAATGACTATTCATAAACTGATGTTAACTAGTGAAGAAACTGGAAAAAGAGAAAAATAGACTTTAGACTTTTTTTCTGCTAACTTCTTTCAGTTTAGAACATTCTGAGTGTTATTTGAAACTAGAGTAAGTGATTTTCAGGTTGATCATTAACATTTCATTTAGGATTACCCATCTAGCATTGACAATAAACTGGTGCTGCTTCAGTTTTTAGAAGAAATTCAGCACCATGTACTCTGTGAAAGTGCAAGTTCAATTAAGTCCACTTGGAGCTTGATTTTTACCATTATGCTGCAGGCTGATTCTATGTGGAACTTCACAGGGATCTGTTTCAGAGAGGTAGCCATGTTAGCCTGTTTCAGCAAAAACAAGGAGTCTGGTGATGGCTTCACCTTAAAGACTAACAATTTAATTGTGGCATAAGCCACAGATGTGTGAAGTGAAAGAAAAAGAAACAGTAGGTTTAGAGATGGGAGTGTTACATCAGAGCTAATTCAATCAGGGAAGATGTGGCTAAGAAGGTGAGAATATTACAAGCGGAAAAGACCCTTCAAAAACAGACTGCAACATGAAGCTGCTGAATGGGAATTCATATACAAATTTAACACCAACAAAATGGGTCTGAATAGGGACTGGAAATGGCTTTCTCATTTCAATAATTAAGTTTCCTCTTTATGCATTTTCACCTTCTTAGCTGCGCCCTCCTTGATTGAATTAGCTCTGATGTAACACTCCCATCTCTGTATCTCTGCTATCTGTTTCTTTTTGCCATGCTTCATGCATCTGAGCAAGTGAGTTGCAACTCATGAAAGCTTATGCCATAATACAATAATTAGCCTTTCAAGTGCTACCACCACCAAACTCCTTGCTTTCACAGAGATAAAATCCCAAACTGCTTGCTCCCAAAACAGGTCCTTGCCACTTATGCTGAAGAATCTCCATGAACTGCTCTTAGAAAAGGGTTCATGATATACAGTTTAGCAGTTCTGATTCCATCCATGAGAGGCCTGTGGTACACATCAACAACACATCGACCAGTTGATCATAATATTATTTGGGTTGTATTAATTCCCCAATGCACTGTGCAGCTGCTTGTGATGCAGCTGCAGAAGTGATGAAGAATTTCCTTTCTGACATTCCATAATGTTCAGATTAATAAGCCTTTTACAGTGCAAGAAGGAATCCTTCCAAAGGTGCACGTAAAACAATTCCCAGTTTTCAAACAGAATCTAGAGCACAGACATCTCACACTGTCTGGTGCACATACAGTTTAACGAACCAGAGGCATTTTTCTTTTTTTAATGAGTCAGACATTCCTAGACTGCTTTGTGCTGCACAGAACTAATGATTCCCCAAGATTTTGAAAAGCTGGACAATTTGTAGCAGTATGTGAACTTTTACTACTCCTGCCTCATGAGATATTAATGTGTTGCTCTCATAGATGGGTGAAGATGCTTTTAAAACTTGCCTCTCTAAACAGATGTTTTAAAACATTTTCATTTTATCTATTTTAATTCTTGAAAATAGAATTTTCATGCTTTGTTTTTTATTTTTATTTTTTGCTCAGTATGTTATCTTTCTTCTGTTTTAGGATTATAGGCTATTGTATTTTCTCTTGTCTTCCATTCAGTTGTGTTCCCCTGCTCATCCCCTTACTATTCCTCTCTCAAATATGTCCTTAACCTCTTCCAGTCTTGTGTCTATGCAAATAGTAGGAACTTAAAAAGGCTACGGTCTTGTGTATACTAGAAAATGTTAGCAAAAATACTCTCCCTTTCCCTTGCTGGGAGTAGCACGAAGGGGAATGATCCAATATGAGACCTTAGGTACATACTTAGGCTTCTAGCTTCCCATAATTCCTGCCACCATGGCCAGACTTCTATTTTTAGCATCCTAGCAATCAGAGCTAGTGTAGGTATGTCTGCCTTCTAGTCTTAGTGTAGACGTATTTAGTGTAGACAAGGCTTTCACAATTTTTATCACCCTGCATATTACATTAGTGCGGGAGATAGAATCTAAGGTCTAAAAGAGTGAACAGTGGAAGAAGGAAAAGGTCCTAAATAGGTTTAATTGACCAGATAATAAGAATGCCAGGAGCCTACAGAACATGCTCTACAACTACATTAATGCTTTCACCAAATACAGCTAGCAATTCAGCAAGAGTGGTGGTACATCCATGCAAATTTTGTTAAAAATTTCCTTTTGTAGACACAGCTTTAAGGGTCAGCCCAGGCATTTGTCTGCAGTCCCATCACATCTGAAGCACAGGGCGGCCTATGCCAGTTGGTTTTTATTCACTATTCCACACTTGGTTGTTGAAGGTTCTTTCATCAGCTCCTCACAGGCCAAGTGCAGAAGCTACACAATCACTTTTTGCCCAGCTTCTCACTTACAGCTTGATCCAAAGTGCACTGTCATCAATGTCAGACTTGCCATTGACTTCCGTGAGCACTGGTCAAGTCTAGGGAGTTGGATGCTGAAAGACTTCTACCTTAGGGTTACCATATTTGAACTTTCCAAAAAGAGGACACTCCTGAGAGAGAGAGTATCTGTATCAGTATCTACCAACTCATGTTGTATTCATGTGTTATATAGTATAACTCTATTCTATTCCTCAATGACCCACAAGAACTTTTTCCACATAAGGAGAGGGAATTAATTCAGGGTCATCTCACTCTGGCTGACATTGGCAGAGCACTTTGACAGTTTGCTCTACATCAGAAGTAGGGTTTCCAGCCCTCCAAGACTGGCCCGGAGTCTCCAGGAATGAAAAGGTTAGTTTGCTCTACACCAGAAGTAGGGTTTCCAACCCTCCAAGACTGGCCCGGAGTCTCCAGGAATGAAAAAATGATTTTTAATTAAAATGTATATCATGTGATAAAATCTCCCAAAGAACATCCAACCAAAATTGGCAATCCTAACCTGAATTGTCGGGAGAGTCAGGGGCCACATGGCCTTTGCCAAGTACCAACAGACAGGGCAACTACTTGGTTGCCTAGCAACCAAGTGCAGTCTTTCAGCCGGGAAAAAAAGCAGAGTGTTATTGTCTTTTAAACTCCTTTATTAGCACATTTTGAAACAAATGTTCGAAAAAAGCAGTGTTATTGTCTTTTAAAGTCCTTTATTAGCACATTTTGAAACAAATGTTCATCTTTTAGCCAAACACTAAATGTAGCAGCTGTGTTTGGTAAATTTTCCTGGAATAGATACAACCGCTTGAAATTCTCTTTCTTCTTTTTTTCTTCCCCTTTAAATTTAATTCTGTCATCTCCACAGAACTGTCAATGTATTTTATTTCCTGTTTAATTTCAGACCAGATTTCCAAAAGAACTCAGTATAGCCATCTAAAATGAGCTGAACACTTTTGAAAATTTGGCCACTTCATTAACAATGGGGGCTGTTGAAGGCTGAGCACTTGAGACAAATCGGCCTTTCATTTTTGATGAAACCTACATATCTGTCATTTAGAGTGCTTGCCGCAGCCACATGTTCAGTAGAACATTGAGTGTTGGAGAAATGGAATATGGAGACTGTCACTTTTAAGTCATCATTTACATCTGATACAAGCCAGTAGTAACATCGGATACTTTTTACCATCTGATGGCTGTTCCATGACCTGTGTAAAATAGGTTTTATATTATTTCAGTTTCTGGACAGCACAATTGTCCACATACTGTTGGCAGTTGATGGCCTAATGGGGAGTAATGTTAGCAGAGAGACCAAAGATTGAGGTTGAAATACAGGCTCTACTGAAGTCAATGGAACTTTTGCTCATGAGTATGGAGACTGAACCATTGTCTGACATGGCGACCCCATAGGACTGCATGAAGCACATCAGAGGGGAAAAGAAAGGATTGCTGTGAGAAAGTTTGTATGGCTATTGCTTGTTGATATTCACACAAAGAAGCAGCATAACTGCCTTTTAAACTGCCTTTATTGATGTTGCCAACAGTAGCCTCATTTTGGTTGGTTTCACTCTCCTTTAATATGCATCAGAGGATGGATTAAAATCTTGATTCTGCTACTGTTTGGAGATTTTTCAACATTTATAAAGGGAATTTCCTCCTGATGAAAGGTACAGGCTTGGCAGATGCCCTGAATGAATCTTTTTATTTTTCCACAGAACAAGCATGCAACAGGCAGTGCCAGGACAAGCTTCTGTTACACCATCCTGCCAATGTGCTTCAAGCTAGACCTGGATTGACCACCCCTTTCTTTTCCCGCAAAAAACAAACAAACAAAAAAAAAACCGTAAAGCAGACGCATTCCCTGGATACGGCAGAGTTTGAAAAACCCCATAGTCTAGACATAGCCATGGCCATATACTGGGAACCTGTGATAAGGATTTTACCTTGAACCAAGTCTACCTGGTTACGTTTCAATTTGTTTTTTTCTTTCTCTTGTACCCATTTCTTCCTTTATCCCTGATATTTGATGTCATCTAACATCATGTCTTCTATTGTTAATAAAATTTTATATTTTTAATCTGAACCAATCCAGTACTGTGCTTAAACTAAAGTGTTTGATAACTCTAGTTAAAGCAGCTAATAGTTAAATATTGACTCTTCTCAGGTGCAATGGATCTTTAATCTCTGAACTTCCCAGGATAGGGCTGGACAATGGAGAACACACATTTTGGAGAAAATCTGGAACTGGGAGAGTGTTGGGATCACCTTGCAAATTGTAACCACAACTGGTGGAATCCAGAGTGTCCCTAGGGGGCACAGAGCCTGGGACAACCTACCCCCTGCCTTATGTCAGGCCCTACCTCTGCTTCATGCACCAAGCCCCCCTCTACATCATACCTGACCTTCCTCTTCATACCCCTGCTCTGCCCCCCAACCCCATTACACCCATTCCCTCAAACTGCTTCCCAGAGTAATGCAACCCCAGGGTTTAATGGAGGGCCTGATGCCATCAGTAGGGATCAGACCCCCCAGCACTCACCACAGCGGTGGGAAGTAGAGTGACCTGGTCTCAGTCATCTGCACTCCTCCAAGTCTGGCTCCACGTTGCTCTGCTTTCCTCCACCACAATGAAGCAGAGTGATCTGACTGGGTGATGCAGGAGCAGAGTGGCCCAGGGATGTGAGTGTAAGGGCGGGTCCTGCCCCTGCTGCCCTCAGTTCTCTAGGGTTCCACAGAGCACAGAGTGTCTGCTCCAAACCATCCAATGGACAGAGTGGCTCTGGCTACTGAGATCAGAGTTGCTGAAACAGTGCTTTGGCTATACACAGACATTCAGGGTGTGATGTGCATTTTGGTAGGTTGTGAGTGGCCCAGTTTGGGAGCTATATCAGTAAAGCATTGTGAGACTCCCCAATGTGTGGAGCAGGTGGTGACACAACCTCTCATTGGTCTGGATTGCACCTTAAAATGTGACAGAACCACCAAACTCATGTCATGTAAGCCCCTGTACAGGCAATGTATGTGATTCTTGGTCACTAGCAACCTAGGCAGGAATCATACCAGTAAATTAGAGGAGAAAGACTTGCCTGTTTACTTTGTAAATGTGTCTTCAGACTAGCTGGACATAAAAAGTCCTTTCTATCAGAAATCAAACAGAGTGCCACTGAAACTATATGTTCTTCTTTTTTACTAAAATTTAATGTAACCCTTCTGCCAGGTAGTGCTGGCAACAGCCAGGGCCAGGTTCAATATCTTGGGGTCCCTTTTCATCCATCTTGCACAGAACTGGCTCGAGCCCCCACCCAGTGGCCTGGGAAATTCACACACCCCGGGTGCCTCTGAGAGACAATGCTTCCCCACTCACAAGCACAGAGACTGAGGGTGGAAAATAAACTTTTAATGAAAGAGAAAGAGAAGTAGAGTGGCATTAACTTGGAAAAATACCATAACCAGAGTTCATAACCAACCCATGAGTAGCCGTCCCAGCTCAAATGGATTGAGCGATGTCCATTGCCTCTCAGACTCACTAGTCCAACAATGTAACGGTCACATTCACCTACCCAAACTTTCTCCATATCCCACTTCAAACACTCTACTTACAGCTCTGTCCAGTCAGTATGGACCCAGATATATCAGCCTGATGACTCCAATCATAGAGCCTGAGGTCATGCCACCATTATGCTGTTCCTGTGGTCCACTTGCTCCTACCAGCCACTCTGCTGGCCACCTGCCACTTCTCCTACCGGCTGCCCACTGGTCGCAATGGGTCTGGCTCCAGGCCAAACCAATGACATCAGCTTTTAGTGATTGCAACTCTTAGCCACCACCTAGGCTGGCCAAAAGATTCCAGCTTCCATAGGAATAACAAAGCGACTCCTTATGGAGTCTGCTTTAGGTCTAGCCTTAGAACAGGTGGGGGAAGGGGAGAAAGGAGACAGGTTGAACCAGTCTTACAGCTCACACCTGGCAGGCATGGAGTTGGCTGGCTCAAGGCCTTTCCCACCTACCCCCAACTCAGCTCACTCCAATCTGGAAGAGGGAGGCTTGTTCATCTGAGACCCTGTATAGTGATGATGTCTCTCCTGCATGCACTGGTTTCATATTTTGCAGTTCTACATTTAGGGGTAGCATGGTTTGTGACCCTACAACAGCCAAATTAGTTACAATACACAACATTCCATTCTAACAACTGATCCTCCATCAGTCCTGGCTGAATTGGATTTACATAACCGCACCCCGGATTCCTTCCCGATTCCAGCATGAGTGGTATTTACATATCAACAGAATTATCTTGTAGGGCTAAACAATTTGAATGAGCATACCCACACCCACGGCTGCTCTCTCCTTTCAGCTGGCTGCATTGCAAGCAGTCGTACAGACCCTGCTTACATTAATATGGGGACAGGAGTATTATTCTGTCCTAATGAATTTACCAGCCACAAAAACATGGGATAACAAAGGCAATGCACTGGTGTATTGGCAGCAACATCCTGTTCAGCAAAGCTCAAGATAAGGGCTGGGCAAAATATGATCTGTGGGCCGGATCTGGCTTGCAAAAGCCTCAGCCAGCTCCCTGCCTGCCCCACCCCAAATCGACACTCAGAAAAGCCAGCTGTAGAGCCATGTGCTTCTGTGAATGCTGAGAACCTGGGAGAGGGTGCAAAGGCTTCTCTCACTGCTCCCACCCCCAGTAGCTCCCATTGGCAAGTTTCTGGCCAATAGCAGCTGCCTGTTTGCAGGACAGGCAGCATGTGAAGTGCCCTCCCCCCATCCCCTGGCCTCACAGTGCTTGCAGCAGCAAACATGGACCTTGTAGCTGCTGTGAGCAGTACAGGGACATGGAAGGCAGGGACCCTGGTTAAGGAACCTGCTGGGCTGTGGCTGGGAGCCCCCCAAGGAAAGTCTCACAGCCAGTGCCTGCCTCTGGCACCCCAGCCCCTTCTTCCCTCAATCCTCTGCCTCCATTCTGCACCTCTCCCCGATGTAGCCCAAATCTTCTGCACAGACACCGCATGTCCTATGCCCCTCCTCAGGATACAGCTCCCTCTCAGACCTTGTACCCCAATTCGCTATCCCTGGTCACAGCCCAAATCCCTGAATCCCCTCCTGCACTCCTGCCCTAGGTTACAACCCCCTCCCAGACCTTGTACTCCCTCCTCCTGCACCCCTCCCCCAGGCCAGAATTATCTCCTGCACCCATATCCCTCCCAGAGCCTGTACCCCATCCCCCATCCCAGGTCACAACCCAAACCCCTGTGCCCCTACCCTAGGTCACATTGCCCTCTCAGACCCTGCACTCCCAACTGTACCCCAGTTCGCTGCCCCAGGTCACAATCCCCTTCTTCACTCATACTCCCTCCCAAATTCCATACCCCAATCCCTTACCCCAAGCTCCTTTCTGCACCCAACTTCCATCCCAGACCCCTCACCTCCTTCATTAATACAATGGAAGAGTGCAGCCCTCGACCACTTACCAATTTTTGGAGTGCCCCCCCAAAATTATTGCCCACCTTTGTTCTAGAATCTAGATCATTATTGGACAATCCCGAAAAGGGTTTGAAGGGGTGAACAGATACATACATCTCTGTGCTGCAAAATTTAGCATTAAGAAACAGCTGGCCCAATATATGACTGGGAAACCTACCAAATACTATAATAATTTATTTCAATTATGTCTCTGAGGTGCCTCTCAAAGGAAACAAATCCTGCCCAAAAAATCTGCAATGCAAAAATCAATAGGTCAGATAATGCAGAGTCCTGTTGTTCAGTATTTTATTAATTAGCAAATACCTTTCCCATTCAGTTTTTTGCACACAAATAGACAGTAGCAAAGTCTGTCAAATATGCATAATCTCCAAACCAGTTTTCCACTTGTTTTTCACATATTCTCCTGCAGCATTAATTCTATCTATTACACCCCAGTTACCCTTATTCCCTGTGTTCATTCCCCAACTTCCAAACTGCACATAATTGCCTTTATACAGAAACTGATGTAATCTTTTACAGAAAACCACTCATAAATTATAGAGCCACTCATAATTAAAGAGAAAAAAGTTCTGAAGCAATGTGAGGGGTGTACCAACCCTGCATTGGATCTGCAAGAGTTAAGCAGGGTTCCCTGGCCAAGAGAGGCTTCCTTGCCCCCACAGTCCTGACTAGATATAAAGACCAGCAGAGGAGCTCAGTTTGGGCTAACTGCTGCTCAGGAAGGAGGTACTGCCAGAGCTCTGGAGAAAGAGCTGTGGATGGACTGCACCGCAGAAGCCAGTCAGTGGAGAATGGCTGGAGAAGCCCCCAGTCCATAGGAAACTGGCAAAGAAGATGGCTTTGGTGAGTCTGGTAGGAGGTAGCCCAGGGCAGGGAGTTAGACCCCTGAGAGCTCTCTGCTGAGCTACTGTGGACCACCCCACCACGAACAGGGCCCTGGGCTGGGATGCTACAAGTGTGGTTAGTGACTCAGACTAACAGGCCACACTGCCCAGAGTGGAGAGGTTTTATTTTTGACTTTGGGACTCACGCCACTGGGCCTTACTGCCCTGAAGGAAGGGAATGTTGTTAGGGGTTGTGACCATTAGGTCGGACTGCCTCATTGGGGATGAGGTGTAGTAACTGGCCCTGAGCAATAGGGATTGAAATGCACATGGGATGGAGCACTCTTTGAGAGGCCTTAGAGCCAGGGTGGGGAATCTCAGGCCCCCAGCTTGCCTGGATCCGGCTCCTGAAGCTCAGAGCTCTCCCTACCCCCAGCATTGGGAAGTCTGTGCTGGTGCTCCAGCCCCCTCCCACCCTACTGTGGGGCCAAAGCACACAAAATCTACTAGGTTGACCCCATCCCCACCCCCACAGCTCTGGTGTGTGTGGGAAATGTGTTTCTCCTCAGTCAGGGGCCACATTGGTGAGGGTGGGTTTTTGTTGTTTTTTTGTTTTGCTTCTCACTTGTGTGCAGCCCCTGACTAATTTTTTTTTCTGTGCGTCAGTAGCCCTGACACAAAAATGGTTCTCCAGCCCTGCCT